TTTTTTTTTTTTTTTTTTTGGTAAAACAAGTTTAATAATTTTTACAAGAAAAATGAAGGACAAGAATATAAAAGATACAACATGTAAATTTCAGAAACCAATATTTTGAGTGTTCTAAAAGTCTATCCCATAAGAATCTCGAATTCGAAACAAATGGGTTATTAATGACATAGAATCAATTCACTTCCTTTATAACATGAAAGAATCACTTCACTTCCTTTCACTTCCTTTATAACATGGGAACATGAAAGAATCACTTCACTTCCTTTATAACATGAAAGAATCAATTCACTTCCTTTATAACATGAAAGAATCAATTCACTTCCTTTATAAGAATCAATTCACTTCCTTTATAAGAATCAATTCACTTCCTTTATAAAGCACCCTATCTGAGTAAGAAAAGAAAGATCGACCCCCCTCCTTTATAACATGGAGTCGTATATCTTCAACCATCTCTTATCCCACTTTTCATTGTAAAGGGGTAGCTAATTGGAAGAATGAAGGCATTAAAAGGTTGTATCAAATAGAAAAATATAGCAATGTTCTAGTAAGGGAGTAGTTGTACATGAATCTGTAAGTGAGGTTTGAAGGTGGGATTTCTGGCAAAAATATGAACTCTTATTCTCTCGTGGCCATAAAAACAAGAAATCGATGACAATGTAAAACTTGTGATAAGCACATCAAAATTCATAGATTCAGGGATCGAGTAGTAAGGTTAAATTATAGAAATGATGAGATTCCCTACAGAAAATGCACCTGTGACTTTGAGCAGTAACAAGAAATGTCAACCAACCTGCCAAACAATGAAGCACCAAACCTTTAGGAAGAATTCTTTCAGCAGTACCAAGAAAAGTCATCACAGAGGGCGAATTTATGTTATTTCCAAGTAGAATGATCTAGGAAAGATTGAAGAAAGACTGTCCAAATGTTGAGAAGCCAAAAGAAATTTGAACTGGCAAAATGATTTAGTGTTTGAGGTGTTCATTTGTTAGTTCATTGTTTAGAGAATGGACATTACCTTGGTCACATCAACTCAAGCTTTGTATTCATCTACTCGCATCCATTTAGTAGCAGACCATTTATTCCCCTTGATAACAGGACAGCCACCTATATATCAACAGCAGGAGAAACGTCATAATTTTATGAAGAAAATCCGGTACTCTCCGCATAAGAGAAGGAAAAGAAAGCGCACTGACAAAACGAACGAAACATACATTGCCAAAACCTAACATGCTCAGAAAAATGAATGGTGGGTTTATAAGTTTGAGAGTATCTAATCTAACCATGCAAACTTGAAGGATCTAGAGAGGCATCGGGCTTCATGCTCCAGAAAAGCAATGCATCGCCCCTCTTCGGTTTAACAGAAAGTCCTTTCTTCCCACAATCAGAAAGCTCATTCCACCAAGGTACAGAACTAAAGTTTCCTTTGGCAGCAGGGAACACTGTCTCGCCTCCTTCTTCGACGTCTGAGCTGAATTACGATAGAATTCATATAAAATAATGGGCGAACCATGCAAAATGAAGCACTTGTTTAGAGTCCAAAGCATGGAAAATATGGATTACTACTTACAGGTACATAAGCACTGTTGCTATACGTTGACCTCCATTCTTTGTATTGTAGTCGTCAAGGAAGTAATCAAAATGAGGTTCATATTTCTGTCCCACTTCGTAATGAAGAACCTGAAGTCCTTCTCCATGCTCTGCATATATTATGTGTGCACTTAAGTAACAAAGTACGAAAACTTAGTGTCTAATATTCATTAACCTTATGAAAATTTTACAAGATAAGAAGACAGTATCTACATATAATAAACAAAAATTGGCACAGCTTATCAGGTGAACCCGATTCTTGTTCATTCTAACGAGGGTCAATGGGCAGGTAAGCTCATAGGACAAACAAATATCTGGAATGTATTGGTATTCCTACGTCTGAGTCGATATTCGTTATTCAAATTTTCAGCCATGATTAAAAATCTTCCTCATCCATTGAAACTTAGCACGAGAATTGTATCTATTTGAATAGTTTCAGGCATGATAAAAATCTTTTCTAACAAAAGAAAAGTTATGATTGGGAAAGCTAGACTACAGGGGAAAAATTATACCAAAACGATAGGTGCACTTGAAAGTAAATTAAAGATTACAAAGATTATTTTAACCTTGCATAATAGAAAATAATGCTCGATGTAGTTGGAAGAAACCAGGAGGAAATGGACTCAAAAATCGTACCTATGGGTATGAAGGTGAAATCAGCAATCCTTTTCTCTATAGTGCTGATAATCTTGTCGCCTCCTCTCGGCAAGAATGTTCCAGAGCTAGTGCGAACTCTGTGAAAGAGAGGTCAGGGAGGTTTCCACAAAAGAGATCCAGCATTACTAACAGTAAAGAATTCTGAGGAAAGGAATAGAACACCTGCTATCTTTGCTCTTTCCAGTTTCACTGTCAACAACGGTAGACTTTTGCATATGAGGCTTGGCATGGCTAATTAGGTACTCACACTCCTCCTTTGTCTGAGCAATTCAAAAGTAAACCAATTCAGTATTTCCCTACTCCGGGATTAATCGATGGGTCTCAGCCTCAGTCAACTCATACTCCAATACCATCTAAAGACAAACACAATGGGAATTATCCTTGACTCATCATAATAAGAACGAAGAATGATTTCTTAGAGGAACATAAACATAATAAGCTTCAAGAAGGTACAGCCCCAAAGACGCATTCAATGTGTATAAGCATGCACCAACCAAGTTTATTAAAGAATTCCATACACAAATTGCATTAGGAGAGAAATGAATGAACATAAATCACAAATCTCTCAATCAAGATCGGGAAAACAGAAATACCAGAAAGTTATGATAAACAAAGGCTCTAGGTTCCCATGAGATCACTTCAGCCCACCGTTCCCCTTTCTCCTCGTCAACACTGAAACAAAATCAAACAAAACCACAGAATCAATCAAAATCCATCCTCATACAGAACAAAAAATCGAAAGAAAATCCACAAGATACATACTCCTCGGAGGTTTTCCGCACAATCGAGCTCAGATCATGAACCTTGGGCGAACCGCCGGAATTTCCAGGGATCGAAAGGATTCCAAGAGCAAGAAGAATCAGAATGACGAAGGTGAACATAATGAGCAGAGTAAAAATGAGAGTAGATGAAGAAGACGACTTCCGAGTAGGTAAACGAGATTGCCTGTGCTTCGCCATGGAAACAAAACCCTTAGGAAGCAAGATCTGGAATTCCAAGCTTTTGGTCTTCGTCTCCAAAGTCCAAAGCCCTCTCTGTACAGACAAACTGTGAATCTTGACACCGTAATTAAAGATTGATTTTGGCTCTGCTTATCAACTTTTATTTCTTAATTATTTATTTAATTTATCCCCTCCCGTCTCCGGCGGCTTTCTTTTATTTATTGTTTTTATTATTATTATTATTTTTTTATCGGGTTTATTTTAATTTTTTTATTTTAAAATTTTAATAATTTTAAGCGAAATTAAAATCTAATTTGTATCGAATATTAATTTTTTAATTTAGTGTTTTAATACACGTTTAGAAAATATAAAAAAACAATTAAAAATATAATCATTAAAATTAAATGGGAATATTTCATAATTGATAATATTTATCTAATTATAATATAATAATATAAGCCTTGGTTGACTTCTAATCCTCCATTTATTACTTTAATTGTATATTAAAAACCATTTATTAGTTGAAAAAATATGTATGTTACTTAGAAAATCTTATGATAAAGTATGTCATGAAATTTATTTTAAATATGCTTTCATTTCAGAATTTGATGTGTCATTATTTAAATTCAACCAAGGAAAAAAAATAAATGTGATATCAATGGTAGCTTTTAAAAAAATAATTTTAAAATAAGTTAGGTAATTAAATTCTAAAAATAAAATCGTTTGAAGTAATTTCTTTAAAAAAAATTATTGAATAATTATTAGATAAAATTATAAATACTTTCCTAATTTCTCATATATGAAAAATATTTAAAAAATAAATAAATTTTGAGTCAGTAAATTTATTATATGAACATATATCTCATTTTTTCATAAATAATATATCGAATAAAAGAACTTGTACCATATACGATATTGTCAAAAAAAAAAAAAACCTTAGTCATATTATTTTTTGTTTTTCTAAAATGTTTCGTTGTTATGAAGATACTCTTTTTTACTCATATCATAATATTCATCTTAATTAGCCAACGTCGGGTTTCAATATATTTCCAAAATATTTCGTTATTATGAAGATGTGTTTTTTACCCGTTCAAGCATCAGGGGTTCGATTCGAACAATTTTGACTATCCAACCCAAATTATAAACGTTGGATTGAGTTAGATTTTTTTTTATTAATTTGGGTTGAATTAAAAAAAACGAAAAAATCAAGTTATATTGCAAGTTGATATTTTTTTTTGCTCGATCAATTTATAATATATTTAAAATATCATTTTAGTCCACCTAATTTAATATTTATAATTTTAATAATTTCAAATTTTTAGTTAATATCATAAACTTCCATTCATTTTTTATTTAAATATTCGTACACTATTTAATTTATTACCATAAAAATAAAATTTAAGATTGGTTGAGAGTACATTCATTAAAACAAGACGAAATTTAATTTCATCAAATTTTATTATTTATTTATCATTTTAAATTATATATAATTCTGAAATATTTATAGATAATTATCCATAAATTAGATATTAATTATAATTCTTTTAAGTGATATATTTTTATGGATGGCAAATAAAATTTAACTAAAGTTTGGTTCAACACACAATAATGGAGAGAAGCGTATTCTTCATTGAATTCAAGCTAACTGAGAATCATATTATATAATAGTTATATTATCAATAATGCTAAGAGATTTGATTCTGATAATGAATACGTTATTAGAATATTCTTAAATAATTTTTTTTTTATAAAGTATAAATAATTGTTTATTAATATTAAAGTTAATCAAACAATATTCACATTTAATTCTAGTTCAAACGTCACAATCATATTTTCAACCTAGGGAATCATTTTACAAAAAGAAAAAAAAACTTTAAAAATAAATTTGATTTTTTCTTATGATAAAAAAAAAAAAAAAAAAAAAAAACAAGTGATTCTAACAAACACTCAAGAAATAAGTGGTTCAGAATGATTGATATTGATTATTAAAAAAAAAAAAAAAAAAAAAAAACAAGTGATTCTAACAAACACTCAAGAAATAAGTGGTTCAGAATGATTGATATTGATTATTAAAAAAAAAAAAAAAAAAAAAAAACAAGTGATTCTAACAAACACTCAAGAAATAAGTGGTTCAGAATGATTGATATTGATTATTAAAAAAAAAAAAAAAAAAAAAAAACAAGTGATTCTAACAAACACTCAAGAAATAAGTGGTTCAGAATGATTGATATTGATTATTAAAAAAAAAAAAAAAAAAAAAAAACAAGTGATTCTAACAAACACTCAAGAAATAAGTGGTTCAGAATGATTGATATTGATTATTAAAAAAAAAAAAAAAAAAAAAAAACAAGTGATTCTAACAAACACTCAAGAAATAAGTGGTTCAGAATGATTGATATTGATTATTAAAAAAAAAAAAAAAAAAAAAAAACAAGTGATTCTAACAAACACTCAAGAAATAAGTGGTTCAGAATGATTGATATTGATTATTAAAAAAAAAAAAAAAAAAAAAAAACAAGTGATTCTAACAAACACTCAAGAAATAAGTGGTTCAGAATGATTGATATTGATTATTAAAAAAAAAAAAAAAAAAAAAAAACAAGTGATTCTAACAAACACTCAAGAAATAAGTGGTTCAGAATGATTGATATTGATTATTAAAAAAAAAAAAAAAAAAAAAAAACAAGTGATTCTAACAAACACTCAAGAAATAAGTGGTTCAGAATGATTGATATTGATTATTAAAAAAAAAAAAAAAAAAAAATCCTCTTAAGAGATTTTATGAGGATAATTTTATTTAGATTATTTAAAATTTAAAAAATAATTTTAATTAGTTTTGAGGTACGGGACTGACACCAAGTGAGAATAATATGACTAAAAAATATTAAAAGAGTTAAAATTGGTCTTCTGGCTAATATTTACGATTGGAAATTTAGCCATTTATTTATTTTGATAAAATTATTATTTTAGAGAAATTATTTGGATATTATTTGACACAAAATCAACTTAGTTTATTATAAAAATCCTAGTCACCAATTAAAAAAATGTTTTTCAAAGATGACGGGCTCACACGTCCAAATAGATTAAGTAAATAATTAGAAGTTTGTGTCCTTAAACAATTATTAAACTGAATAATCAAAACCCAAATTGAGTTAAGGTTACGGATAATCAGCAACAGCGATCCACCGGCCGTACCGTAGATCGACGCCATTAATCCTGGGCGGGAATGTTCGAGCTGTAAACACAAAACAGTATATATTAGCTACTGAAAATGGCCATTTCTTGATATGAAGATCCACTAATGTCTGTGCCCCACGCTGAGCTGCCTTGAAAAGCAATCAATCAGCAAAGCAGCAATCAATTCCATCTTATCCTCTCGCTTCTGTGTTTACAGTGAGCGGTGAAAGGAGTAGCAGAGATGGCGATGGGTATCAACCACGGTGGTTTCGATTGAGAAATTTCAATACCCGCGTGGGCTCAATTGGGTGCTCACTCTGTTTCTGGTAAGATATTTATATGTAGTCAAAACCCATTTCAATTCGCGTCAATTTTCATGGCGGAAAGTTCAGAAGAGGTCTATCTCCATGGCGATCTCGACCTTAAAATCTTCGAGGCCACCCAGTTGCCTAACATGGACATAGTATCCGAGCGTCTACGTCGTTGCTTCACTGCTTGTGGTACTCTCAACTGCTCCGCCATTAAATCCGTCGCTACCAACTCACGTTCTGCCGCCGGTGAGGGGAAAGTCCACCACAGCCATGGAAAAATCATCACCAGTGACCCATATGTTACCGTCCGGGTTCCTCAAGCCACCGTCGCGCGAACTCGCGTTATTAAGAATTCCCAAAACCCCAATTGGAACGAGCATTTCGTTATCCCTCTTGCACAGAAAATGGCCGAGTTGGAATTCCAGGTGAAGGACGATGATGTCTTTGGCGCTGAAGTTATGGGGACAGTCAAAATCCCGGCTCAGCAAATTGCCTCTGGTCAGACAATTAGTGGGTGGTTTCCGGTGCTTGGCTCAAATGGGAAGCCACCGAAGCCCGGCACTTCACTACGAATTGAAATGAAGTTCACCCCTGTTGAAAAGAATCCGGTGTACCGCCACGGCATTGCTGGAGATCCGGAGCATAAGGGTGTGCGGCACACTTATTTTCCGGTGAGGAGAGGCAGCTCCATGAGATTGTACCAAGATGCTCATGTGCCTGATGGGATGCTGCCGGTGATTGAATTGGATGGAAAGAATGTTTATAGACAAGAGAATTGTTGGGAGGATATCTGCCATGCTATATCAGAGGCTCATCATATGATTTACATCGTTGGTTGGTCAGTTTTTCATAAGATCAAGCTGGTTAGAGAGACAACCAGGCTGCCACGAGGTGGGGAACTTATTCTTGGTGATCTCCTCAAATACAAGTCAGAGGAGGGTGTTCGAGTATTGATGATGATTTGGGATGATAAGACTTCTCATGATAAGTTCTTCATCAATACAGTGAGATTTTGAACAAATGCTTGTGATTTTAGGCTAGAGTTATGATGTCTGGAACATTTTACGTGAGATCTCACGTTAGTTGGAGAGGGGAACGAAGCATTCCTTATAAGTGTGTGGAAATCTCTCCCTAGCAGACACGTTTTAAAATCGTGAGACTGATGGCGATACGTAACGGGCTAAAGTAGATAATATCTGTTAATTGTGGGTTTTGGCTGTTACAAATAGTATCAAAGTTAGACACAGGGCGGTGTGGTGTGCGAGCAAGGACGCTGGCCCCCAAGGGGATGGATTGTGAGATCCCATATTAGTTGGAAAGGAGAACGAAACATTCCTTATAAGGATGTGGAAACCTTTCCGTAGCAAACACGTTTTAAAACCGTGAGCTGACGGCGATACATAACAGGCCAAAATGGATAATATCTGTTAGCGGTGGGCTTGAGTTGTTACATTTTACTTCAAGCTAGTTTCTATAATGATATAAAACGACGTTAAAGAATCGATTCTAAATTGTGTCGTCTCCGGTTGCAGGGGGGATTGATGCAGACACACGACGAGGAAACCAAGAAATTTTTCAAGCATTCTTCAGTGATCTGTGTGCTCTCACCTCGCTATCCAAGCAGCAAGCTAAGCTATGTTAAACAAAAGGTATTGGTGTCTATGTTTATCACGTAGTTAGATACTCCTTGAGCTCATATAGTGTGTTTGTCCAGGTTGTAGGCACTGTCTTCACGCATCATCAGAAATGTGTCCTTGTTGATACTCAAGGATATGGTAATAATAGGAAGATCACTGCTTTTCTTGGAGGTCTTGATCTCTGTGACGGTCGTTACGATACACCCGAGCATCGACTATTCCATGGCCTCGACACGGTATTTAAGGATGATTTTCATAATCCTACATTCCCTGGAGCCAAAGCTCCAAGGCAACCATGGCATGACTTGCACTGTCGGATCGATGGGCCAGCTGCATATGACGTGCTTATAAACTTTGAGCAACGTTGGAGCCGAGCCACAAGATGGACCGAGTTTGGCCTACGCTGCAGGAACATTACTCACTGGCGCGATGCTTTAATCAAGATAGAGCGCATATCATGGATACTAAGCCCTCAAATAACCATCTTAGCTGATGGTTCAATAAAAGTTCCAGAGGATGACCCCAAAGTATATGTTTCAAACGAAAAAGATCCTGAAAACTGGCATGTTCAGGTTGAAACTTATACAACTTATGGGCTTGTTTTTCGGTTTCGTTTCGTTATTAAATCCTTCTCTTTCTTTCGTTCTTTAGATATTTCGATCCATCGACTCGGGATCGGTTAAAGGATTCCCAAGAGATGTCCATGTCGCGGAGTCGCAGGTTCGTACTCTACTGCTGTTTTTTCTCCCCATTTTGGATGATATGAAGTTCATTTGTGGTTTGTTTGTGGCTGCAGAACCTTGTATGTGCCAAAAACTTGGCTATAGAGAAAAGCATTGAAATGGCATATATCCAGGCTATTCGATCGGCGCAACGTTTCATTTACATTGAAAACCAGTATTTTATAGGATCATCATATGGATGGCCGGGATATAAAAATGCCGGTGAGTTTTGTTCGAGTTTTGTTCTTTGAAGTAGTTTACTTTGTTGCTTCTACATTACATACTTGTGGGTTGATGGCACGAGCAGGGGCTGATAATCTCATTCCCATGGAGTTGGCCCTTAAGATTGCAAGCAAAATAAGAGCCAATGAAAGATTTGTTGTGTATATTGTCATACCAATGTGGCCTGAGGGAGATCCCAATAGCGCTCCCATGCAAGAGATTCTTTATTGGCAGGTAAATGGCTATATGAAAAGGAATGTATATAGATTGAGAAATATTTTGAAACGTTGAAACTAGCTCGGGTTTCTACTGTATCTATTACTGAATGTGATGGACTGGTACTGTGAGATCCCATGTCGGTTAGAGAGGGGAACGAAGCATTCCTTATAAGGGTGTGGACGCCTCTCTCTAGTAGACGCATTTTAAAATCGTGAGGATGATGGTGATACATAACGAGCCAAATCGGACAATATATGCTAACGGTTGACTTAGGTTGTTACGAATGGTATCAGAGCTAGACACCGAGCGATGTGCCAGTGAGGACGCTGGCTCCCAAGGGAGGTGGATTGTGAGATCCCCAGGTCGGTTGGAGAGGGGAACGAAACATTCTTATAAGGATATGGAAACCTCTCCCTAGTAGACGCGTTTTAAAACCATGAGGCTGACGGTGATACGTAACGAGTCGAAGCGGACAATATCTACTAGCGGTGGACTTGGGCTGTTACAAATGGTACCAGAGCTAGACACAGGGTGATATGTCAGTGAGGACACTGTGCTCCCAAGGAGGGTGGATTGTGAGATCCCACGTCGGTTGGAGAGGGGGAACAAAGGATTCCTTATAAGGGTGTGGAAACTTCTCCCTAATAGACGCGTTTTAAAACCGTGAGGCTGACAGTGATATGTAATGAGTCAAAGTGGACAATATCTATTAGTGAAGGATTTGAGCTGTTACAAATGGTATCAGAGCTGGACACTGGGTGGTGTGCCAGCGAAGACGCTGGGCCTCCAAGGAGGTTGGATTGTGAGATCCCACATCGGTTGGAGAGGGGAACGAAGCATTCCTTATAAGGGTGTAAAAACCTCTCCTAGTAGACTCGTTTTAAAACCGTGAAGCTGACCGAGATACGTAACGAGCTAAAGTAGACAATATCTACTAGTGATGGGCTTGAGCGGTTACAAACATGAACCTAACTCATTAGCGTAATCTTGAATATTGTACTTGATTATTGTAGGGACAAACCATGCAAATGATGTATGACATTGTTGCAAGTGAGCTGAAATCATTAGAGCAACCATATTTGCACCCTCAGGACTATCTAAACTTCTACTGCCTTGGCAAACGGGAAAAAGTTCCAGAGAATGGGCCAACCACTGATGATGCAACGGTAACTATTCAGCAACTCAATGTTGATCATAACCTTGATACTCTTTTTCGTTGAAACATGTGTGTATTCATGTTTTAGGTATCTAATTCAATAAAACATCAACGGTTTATGATTTACGTGCATGCCAAGGGGATGATAGTAGATGATGAATATGTAATTATTGGGTCTGCAAATATTAACCAACGATCTATGGCTGGAACGAAGGACACCGAGATAGCCATGGGCGCATATCAGCCACATCACACGTGGGCGAAGAAAAAGAAACACCCACATGGTCAGGTTAGGCTCTTTTCGTCTTTCGACCTCGTCCATTTTGTCACTTTTTATCTCCTAACTCGAGAACTGTGAGATCTCATATCTGTTGGAGAGGGGAACGAAGCAATTCTTATAAATGTGTGGAAACTTCTCCCTAACATACACGTTTTAAAATTGTGAAGCTGTCTGCGATACGTAACGGACTAGAGCAGACAATATTTGTTAGCAGTGGGCTTGAGCTGTTTATAAATGGTATCAGAGCTAGGCGGTGTGCCAGCGAAGACGCTGAACCTCCAAGGGGGTGAATTGTGAGATCCCATATCTGTTAGAGAGGGAAATGAAGCATTCCTTGTAAGGGTGTGGAAACCTCTCCTTAGTAGATGCGTTTTAAAACCGTGAGGCTGACGGCGATACGTAACGGGCCAAAGTGGACAATATCTGCTAGTAGTGATACGTGTTTTAAAACCGTTAGGGAGAGGTTTTCATACCTTTATAATGAATGTTTCGTTCCCCTCTCCAACAGATTAGAACTAACAAGGAAATGAAGCATATCGCTCTGTATAACTAGGCACTAAACCAACATCAACTTACTTAGGTTGAGTTATTTGCTAAACAACTACTTTGTTAGACGTGCTTGCATACACACACTTCATGAACTCTTGCTATACAGATTTACGGATACAGAATGTCGTTATGGAGTGAGCATCTTGGAATGCTCGATCCATGTTTCAACGAGCCAGAAACTTTGGAATGTGTAAGAAGAGTCAACGGGGTAGCAGAGGATAACTGGAAGCGATTCACCGCCGATGAATTCACGACGTTGCAAGGCCACCTCCTCCGGTATCCGGTGCTCGTGGATGGCGATGGGAGAGTCACCCTGCTGCCTGGACATGAAAACTTCCCTGATGTAGGAGGGAAGATAATAGGATCTCATTCAGCTGCAATTCCTGATGTTTTGACCACATAGTCTCCGCCCTGTTATAGCAATGATGCTTTCTAGCTAGAATCAACGCGCTCTACCTCTATTCGGAGTCGAAACCGCGAAACGGGCACACGAGTCGATCACTGGCTAGTCTGTAGGCAAGCTTACTGTCCAAAACAATGAAAATTACATAGCTTTGGGGTTCTTTTGGGTGCATTTTCCTTGTGGTTGGTGGGGTTTTCTTCCTTGTTCTTCGTCAATGCTTGTATGTATTTGAATGGAGTTGAACTGTGAATATGGAGTATAGTGATGTTGATTGGGAGAAGGTAATTCATAATAAACAATAATTCTTCTTAATTTTCATTTAAATTTAAATTATGAAAAAAAATGAAAAAATAATCTCGACCCTCCACTTTCAAATGTTACAGAAGGGTTAAGTATTTATTTCGTAAGCTCGTGGCAGACTGAACCAGTGGTAAAGGATGACCAACCTAATAATGCTTAGCTAGTCTTTTCGAATGATCCACCACATGAGATTGGGGCACAGCTCGAACTCTCACGAGAGGTAGTAGTGAAGAATCTTAGACAATGGACAAAAAAAATGAGTACCTAGGATGATTTAGTCCGAAGACACTTTGACTTTAGTAGGTTTTTTCAAAATTGGTTTGGTTCCATGAGTTACTCAAATTTTATAATTTTTTTTAATAATATTAAAATTTAAAAAGTATTATAATTTTTTTAAATTTTTTTAAAGCGTTCGATTTTTCTTTTGGGTTGAAATTTATGAATCATGCAGTGATGCCTGGATCAGAAGCGAGAGTGCACGATAAGTATAGTGTGCACAGTGTACCTGATAATTCTTAAAACATATACGGAGAGATTGTTTTCGCGATTCCATTTACTCTCTCTCCTCGCACAAGTCACGACGGCGAGTTGCGATTCTGGGCTCGTGGAGAGGCCGTCTTCAGAAACCCTAAAAGTCCTGTTCGTATCTGTACTGTTCTTCAGCTTTTGCCGGCCGCCGTTCTAGTTTTCATCTCATTGTGAAAAATGGTAAGCTCCTATTTCTCAGTTCTATTTTTCTTTCTTTGTCTATTGTTGTTTTTATTTCATCGATAAAAGGTTTAACAATCGAGCGTTTCTGGTTCTGCGCAGGCCGATTCTCATCGCAAAAGGTGAGCTTATTTACGTTTTTTTGTAATGATTTGTTTTCTTACGGTTGACGATCTTGGGGCTTTCTGTATCTAGGGCACGGAGATGATTTGTGTTGTAGCATTCATGATCTTCTGTAGCGTTGAACTTTTGAGCACTCCTACATGAAGGAAATAATTGTCACGAGTCTTGAGCATTTTTAGAAGGATTTTATTTCATTCATTGAGATGCCTGTAACTAGGGTTGAGCATTTTCTTGACAATGCACTGGTGGCTGTAATCACTTTAGGGTTTTGGAAAAAGTAACAAGGTCATGCCTTACTTTTCTTTTTCTTTGTCTTGGGAAGTTCTAACAGGTAGTAATCAAGAAATCAAATTAAAAGCAATTACATTGGGTAACTATTGTTGTAATTAATGGAGTTTGAGAGATTTGAGTATCCAAATTTTGAAGTTAATTTAGGGTCGGAATTGGGTCAAGTGCCATGCGAAAGAACTTTGGTCGCTCTCGTACCCTTTGTTTTCATTTTAAAACTTGGCTGTTGATGATTGAGATGGGAATAATTTCTGATGATTTCCCTTCTCTTGTTCTGTTGGTTTCCTTTTTCCATTTTGACCATATTAATTTGTCAGACTTGAAAACTCGTTCTGTCAGTAATTTACACATTAAGGATCGATAGAAACATGGGTGAAAGAGATAATGTGCGTTTACTATATTAAAAAACTTGGCAGTTTGATAATTTAGACCATTCCATTCTTTTAGAACATCCTCATTTTAATAATTCTAATGCATTTAGATTGTCGGTGTTAGTTCTACTTATGGTTGTAAGTGGCACAGGTACTCTCGATCTCCTTCTCCCTGGAGAGCTCCTTCAAGATCAAGATCTAGATCACGATCTAGGCCAAGGTCTAGATCCAGATCGTGGTCAAGGCCAAGGTCCCGAAGTCGTGGAAGGTTGGTTTTGATTTTTCTTTATTACCTGGATAAATGGAAAGTAGAAACTACTTTTATGTTTGTGATCTGTAGCTTAGAACCCTATTTTTATGGTTACACATGTTTCTGATACAGATCAAGATCCAGAAGTCGAGGAAGGTGTGTGTGTTTCTTCGGCTGGAACTCTAGACAAAATAATCAGCGCTCTATTTCAGTAGAATTGGATCTATTTGTACTTCTTTCTCATATATTGTTAGTGTTTGATTCTCCTTGGATAACATTTTTAGCTTCTTCCAGGGGGGAGAATGTCAATAACCCTGGGAATACGCTTTATGTCACTGGCCTATCTACAAGGGTCACTGAAAGAGACCTTGAAGAACACTTTTCCAAGGAGGGCAAGGTTAGCTTCTGAACCCTTTATCTTGCAGATAATTGCATGATCGTGTGAGAAGTCCCTACTTGGATCATGATGTGAAACAAGTGGCATGACATAAATAAGACCGTATTTATTGTGTTTCTTGAAATTAAAAATGTTTTTATAGTATTTCCTGAATTAAAAAACATTTAAATGGAAATTCGGTAGATGACAGATGGTCTCAAGTTCAGTGTATTCATAATATTCTGTATTGAAAAGCAGAAATTGGATTAGACTCCAAATGGCCCGATGTTCTGCAATTACTTGTTTTATTGATCACGATGTAGTCAGTTTATTCTTCCTTTCCTAATACTGCTATTATTTGCAGGTATCTTCTTGTTTCCTTGTGGTTGAACCTCGAACTCGGATTTCCCGTGGTTTTGCATTTGTAACGATGGACAATGTTGATGATGCTAATCGGTGTGTTAAGCATCTCAACCAGTCAATTCTAGAAGGTCGATATATAACTGTGGAGAAGGTACTACGCTTGTTCTGCTCTGGATAGCCTTGAAGAAACTTAATTGTTTTCTTTTTTGGTTTTTTCCCTTAACTTGGAGGTTTTCTGGTTATATTCAGAACAAGTTGTGTGAGCTATGTTGGCAGCAATCAAAGATGATGAGTTCATCCATGTCAACTTTAGTGAAACAGCTTGGTCAATGACAAGCTTAAACAACAGATTTCAAATGCGCCTGATCAACTAAACATATCAACTATATTGCCCAACAACTTTTCTACATCAGCATTCACTTTCAACACAACTAACCAACGGACATTATCAAGAACTTTCTAATCAGGCTTTATGGTATTTCATGCCTAGTCATTGGACACTAGTCAATTTTTCCCGACTCATGATATCAAGTGTGCCCATTTTAGGTGGCCAGGCCCCCCTTATGAACAATTTCAAAACTAGTTTTTGCATTTAAGTGCTCACCGTGAAAACTATACAAACAATATAGCCCTTTTATATAGTCTTGGGACATAGAGGTTACCAATTGAAGTGAGATGACACCTTTTTTGTCTTTCAGTCACGGAGGAAACGGCCAAGAACTCCAACGCCAGGACACTACTTGGGGTTGAAAAGCACCAGAGACTCTGGTAAGTGTAACCTGTCAATTTATTCAAAACTATGGTTGTTTCATATATTCTGTGCTTTAAATTTCAATCTACTTAAACATTAATAACTTTGTTGGTTATTGTATTAGGCTACCGTGGCGAACGAGGTAGCAGGTATCGTGGTGGCTCCTTCCGCGAGGACTATGGGCATCGTCGATCCCCAAGACGCTCGCCATATCGAGGGGCCCGAGAGTACTCCCCTAGACACTCACCGCCTCCATATGGTGGTGGGAGATCAAGGAGGGATCACTCTAGGTCGCCTCCTTACTCTCCTTACGGCGGCGGCAGCCCAGATAGGAGGTATCCTCGTGGCTCTAGGTGATATTGCCCCCTTTAATGTACTTTTGTGGTGCAATTAGTTAAAAGACCTACAGTGGATTATGGTTGTGTGTGTATTCGAACGTCTGTCTGTACCTCATAGTTTTAAGCAGTCCAACTGCCAGAATGTTACCATATGCTCTTTTGATTTGGTGTTTTGACATGGTTCTATAAAAAACATTGCTCTGTCTTTCGTATATTGTTCTTTTTCCTTCTCAAAAAATGATTAGGCTTCCCATAATCACTGGGTTTTTCAGTATTTTTAAATATATTTATTAATTATTATAGACGCAAATAAAATATTACTTTTCAAGTTTCATATCTAACCCATCAAATCCAAATACCATATAGTTAGCGAAATGAGATTATATGTGACAAATAAATAATTTCTCCATGGTATTAAAAAAAATTAAATGATTCAATTTAATATGCTGCAACGGTTAAAACTAACATAATCTGAGAATCAATTTCGTTCTAATTTTGAGCCCGCGATCATATCTTGGGCCGACGATAAATTGCAGATAATGGGCCTGAGGCCCAAACTGCAGTCTTATGGGCTTGGACCCGTAGCCCAATTTTATGAAGAAATCTCTTCCATTTTCTCATCAGAGGGGAAGTGCCATCGGGAATCGATCGGAGCCAGCCATGTCACTCGCAGCTTTTCTCAATATTCCGGTAGCTAAAGTCGTCTTCCTCTCGAATTCGCCGCTTTCTCTTCCCAATTCTACCAAGCTTTCCTTCGTATCTCTTCCCAGACGCCCAAACAGAGTTTGTTCGGTTAAGTCTTCTTCCCACAACTCTTACTCTATCCAACCAGATGAGTTAGAAGACTTTGTTATCGGCGATTGCGTTATCTTCGAAGACGGCGTGTTTGACGACCCGTATGTGTTGGATGATTCGAATGCGGAGCATTACAGTCCGCGAACAACGAAGTCTAAGCCAAAGAATGGCGTTGTGGAAATTAAGCCCGAAAATTTGGTGCCGGATGAGTGGAAAGAAGTGCAAGCGGAGATTAACATCACCAAGAAAGAGAGACGGAAGATTGCTCAGGAATTGGAGTTTGGTACTCGAGTTGAGAAGAAGAAGCAAGGGCTTGTTCCTTTGAGGAGTGTGAATTTGGAGGAGTATTTGTCGTTTAAGGAGGCCAAGTTGGCGCAGTTGAAGCCACTTGTTCTTGATAATCCTTCTAGTTTCCCGGGGACTGAGGAAGTTAACAGGGCGGAAGGTGTTAAGGAAGTGAAAGGAGGCGAAATTAGCGGGTCGAGCGAGCGTGTGGCGCCAAAAAATCCCAAATGGGCGGTTTATGGTAGGGGTCTGGAGGATGTTTCAGAATTCTTTAACAGTGTACAATATCAACCTGCTGATAAAAAAGCTGAAGGTATTGCCTATATTTTGAATGTGATTATTTGAGTTGCAATCTAAATGAAGCATTTCCAGTAGTAATTAACCAGTTATCCTTTACATTTTGAGTATGCTCGACTCTATGAATACTGGAAGGATAATCTTGTGTGTCTCTTTTAGATTTTGGTTATTATCCATTCACCTCAATGAATTACTCTGTTATGCTTCCATGGACAGGACCTCGCAAGTTATTTTCAAAAGAGGAAAAGGCTATGCTGAACAAAAGGGTGCCTGATCTTGCTTCTGCTCACTCTGTAAGCCTTGTTATGGCCATTGTATTTTAAAGTTATATTCTATGGGCTAGCTAGATTGACTCGTATTGGATATGCTTAAAAGTTATCAATATCCCGGATTTGGATTTGAAATAGTACTCAGCTACTGTAACCACTTGTGGGTTTTTGAAATTATGTTCAGGACATGTGGTTGCCTCTACATACTCTTGTTGGATCTGGCGAATTTTACCTTGTAGATGAACTACTGAAAAACAATGTTGATATCAATGCTGTGGACAAGGTAGGGAACGCTTCGATGCTAGAAAGCACAAATACGGATATGAGTCATGAATACAACACAGTCATGACAGGACATCATTTTTTTAAAAAATGTAGGATACGGACATGACAATGACACGTTTATTAAAATATACATTTTTTAAAAATATATATCATTTTATTTGAGAAGAAAGTTCAAAATCAATGAATTTTTGCATTTATATGCTTAAAAAGTTAGTTTGATGTATTTTGCTCTGAATTTTATTAGTTTTGTCATATTTAGTATACTTAAATGGTGTTTGATGCAGGTTTAACAAAAGTTAGACCAGTTTTTCACTTTGTACATCTTATCTATTCTACTAACAAGTGCCTGATACGTTTCAAATAAGTGTTGGAGTGTCCGAGTGTCCAATAAATGTTGGACACAGACACGTCTAAAATGTCCGTGCTTTTAGTTAATTTACAGTTATTTCATCAATCCTTAGTCATTTTTGTTTATATTTGCCTACAGGTTGGTTTCACAGCTCTTCACAGGGCCATAATTGCAAAAAAGCAAGCCATAACTAATTATCTTTTACGAGAAAGTGCCAATCCTTTTGTTCGTGATAAGGTTAGCTAAATTTTCCACTTATGCGGTTGACTAGCTTCGAGGAACGGTGTTAAACTTTGAGGAGGAGCTTTTGTCATTTTATCTTCAAAATTGAAACCAGTAATTGACGTTTTGCATGAATTGTTGATGCTCATTCGAATTACATAGAGATGTAGCTGTACATTGAAATTGTAGAAATCAAGTCTTCAAGCTGTATATGTTTTAATCCTTATAAACAAAGAATATATAGCGTCCATTAGTTTTTAATCTTATTTTTTACGTTTCATGTCAATAATACCTATCTGAAGTCGAGTAAAAGTTGAATTAAGTTGCCTACTTTCTAAATTCCAAACTTCCAAAGTAATGTAACATGATATATGTTTGCTTTCAGCTAATTTTTGTTGCAAGTTTTTTTTTTAAAAAAAAATTTATTCGAACTTTCTCTTATCAAAAAATTTCTACTACCCTTCTTAACAGGATGGGGCAACGTTGATGCATTATGCTGTCCAAACTGCTTCCAGTATGGCAATTAAAGTTCTTCTATTATATAATGTTGATATAAACCTTCAGGATAAAGTACGTTTATACTCCTCTTTATAGATGACGTGCCTTTTACAATTCAAAATTTTAATTAACACTATTCTTATCATCCTCTTACCAGGATGGGTGGACGCCGCTGCATCTTGCTGTTCAGGCTCGTCGAACAGATGTAGTCAGGCTTCTATTAATTAAAGGAGCTGATAAGACACTAAAAAATGTGGTAAGTATTGTTAAGTTTCTACATGGCATGAACATTACAATTTTTTGCTTTTCTTCGCTTGTGCTATTCTACATCTTTTCTGTAACGCACGATATTCTTGCTGATTTACTTGTATATCGTCTGAGCTAAGTTAGAATATATTAATAGGTTTAAATGCTCTTTTAACAATACATCTTGCCTCACTGCATTCCAGGAAGGGTTAACCCCATTGGACATTTGCCTCTATTCTGGTCAAGACACAAAAACTTATGAACTAATAAAGCTGTTGAAACAGCTTCCAAAGCCAAGTAAACTGCCTTCATGACAGACATGATTAGTTGAGTAACTCTTGCTTACGCTCTGGAAGATCGCCTATCATCATGTTTGGTATGCCATAGTTGTCCGAGTCCCATATTGGCCGTGCGACTGTTCAACATTGGGTTCTTTGCTAGATCATTCTATCAGAGCAAATAGCACAAAGAAAGTGAAATCATCGCAAACCGAGCTAGAAATATGTCTCTGCGTGAGCCCTCCTGCAGAGCAAATGCATCTATATCAATAACTGACCGATGATTATGGCATGGGAAGCCCGATGAGTATCATATTCATCTTTCTTTTTATGTTGAAAGTTGTAATAACCCCTTCCCTTTGTTTTGTATCTGTTGTAACTAATCAAAATCTTGAAGTATATACACGTTTTATCGACATAAGTTATGAACTTAATGGATGAACTCGAAGAGCTGTAGCTTTCTTATTGATGATATCCCTTCACAATATGAAGAGGAGGTACAAACTAGTTTATTGAAGTGGGGAAGGTGTTTGAAAATTTCTCTGATTATAGCTAGGTGGAAATTATTCGTCTTTGGCTGCTGTAACTGTCATTAAACGAATAATGAATACAGCTATTCTTTTCCTGTTGATAAGCTATATTTACAGGAATGCCGCCCGAAAACCCCTGAGCTGGAGTGACTACAGCAGCAGCGAGAATTACTGCAAAATCTGGTTCGCCTAATCCCACCTGCATAATGATGGGAACCTAGGGGTGTGTGGAAGACGAAATGAAGAGGGCATCTTCTCTCCGTCGCCCCACAATGCATAGGGTTCTTCTCCATGAGCAGCGTCGTCGCCTATTTCCAGGTCCTCTTCTTTCATTCTTAAGTTAACAATATGGCTAATCAGGTAACAGATAATGCTGGTAAAGATGGCATTCCAGAGGGTGATAAACACTGCTCCAGCGAACTGGATGCCAATTTGTTTGAGGCCATCTTTGAGCTTTCTATTGGAGATGGCATACAGGAAGCCTGGACCATATAGAGAATCTGGATACATCATTTTCAAAAGGCTGGGTTTAGCAAAGAAACCTGTGAGGAGTCCTCCCATGGAGCCAGCCACAGCATGTGTGTGGAAGACACCCAGAGTATCGTCGACACACTGAAGGAATGCCAGCTTCCTGTGCAGCACCATCATGGTGTACCATGGAACCAAACCAGCAAGCACACCCATCACCACAGCTGCGACCGAGTCCACAAGCCCTATTGTTCATGTAAACCATATACCCTGCTTCTAATTGGATTCTTCAGGTAAGGTAAAATTAACAGTTATGTCTTTCTTTCTTTCTGTTTCTAGGATGGGTGAAAGGACTAACCTGCACCAGGAGTGATACAGACAAGGCCAGTGATGATCCCTTGAACTGCACCAATCACAGAGCTTTTCTTGTATACTATGATGTCCATTGAAACCCAGATCAACAGACTTGTTGCTGTGCAAATATGCGTGTTCAAAATGGCTAGCGACGTAATCCGACCCGCTGCAAATGGAGCTCCTCCATTGAATCCAGTCCAGCCCAGCCAAAGAAACCCTGCCCCAAATACCATGTGGAGTATGTTGTTTGGTGGGAAGCTTTGCCTGTCGCGGGAGTGTCGTGGCCCGACCTGTGGGCACGGTCACCAGATCAGAAACCATCATCACTACAACTTG